CCCCATTTAACGCTCATTTCAATTCTAAAGCAACACATGTCGTTTGAAGAAACAGAAAGATACTTCAGGTTTGTCGATTAGAATCATTTCCTGGTATTTTTAAGTGTAAACAAGCTGTTCCTTATTTCAGTCATATTTCCTTTAACCTAAGAATCATAATGAACATATCCAGGGATTAGTAACTAAAGGTAATCCATATATTTAACTGAACAAATTCTCACGAAAATTGATTTAGACGGTTATTTTCTTTCACTTATTTCTCTCATTGATCCTGTCAACCTTCTCGATTCAGTGCATATATCATTTGGATAGTTAAAAAGATGTGCGTAATATTAAAAATCCAAAATAGGGTCGAAGAAGTCAAAGGTTAGTTTTTCCAAATCCCTAATTAGACAACTAACTAATGGGTTTACTTACTATTATGTTAAATTATCTTTTTATGTACAGAATAATGCTAAAAGTATAAGCAAATATAATTGTTAGAGATTTACATTTTTTGATATCTACTGGAGTTTAAACAGCTGCTTAGTAACAGCTAACAACATATCAACTTATTTATACTAAACTAGGTCGGTAGGATATTAAGATAATTGCAACAGACATGTGTCTATTAGACTATAGTCGTGCTCACTTTATTTCTCACTCTTTGTATTTCATGTCACAAAAATATTACTTCAAAAATAGAACATAAGATGTTTCCAAATCAAATTATAATTCAGTTGATCTATCTCCAGTCTATAGTTTTGATATAGCTTTGAACTCAGTGTTGTATGAAAGCGACAAGAAGTAACCTAATACAGAAAAAGGTCTATAACCCACTTTATGAAATACATCCAATTAAATATGTTAAGTATGAGTCAAATCCTTGGGGTTACTGAATGTATTGTAACATGACAACTCATTTCTTCTGTAATGACATATAGAAACTATTAAACTGCCCCAGAAGAGCAACCACCCCTGTAGTTGTTAATACTTATTAAAAGGATGTACTTAAAGTCTTGATGTAATTTTTGCATAGCCTTTAACATAATTCCCTTTTTTCAACAGTTCCCTAAATTAACTGTTGAAAGTCTAACTGTATTGTTGGTAAATTGTCTGAAAACGATATTAAGTGGTATATGTTCGAATATATTGGAAGAAATGAGTTTCGTTATCGCAAGCTTGATAGAATATCGCAGGTACCCACCAACAGCGAAGAAACTCAACAGATTACTAATACAAATTTCCATTGAGTTTTAAATACACTTTGGGGATGATAAGAATTTTTGTGAATGGACATCAGTTAAATAATAATAAAAAATATGTATCTAAAAATTGTTTGGTATTATCAGACATTTCCAAGGGCAACCAAAATATTCTTCAAATAGAAAAAGTTACTCTATTATCACTGGGTTTTGTAAATAAAGTTGATACACTTAGTAAACATAAGAACATTGGTCGACTCATCTTAAGTAGAATGAGCTTGAAATTTGTCATTTGAATCTTCTGAAAAACTATTAGCAATTACTGGGGTTTTATTTTTAGTTTACTGATGATAATTTATAATTTTGAATAATTAATGATTTTATTTATTATGTTAATACTAGCTTCATAGTTACACGTACCAACGGTCACTTCTAACCTATTAGGTTGCCTTGAATCTAGTCTAGTTGGTCAGTTTTTAGCAAGATGTATCGGTAATCTTGAGAAAATTATTACCTTACCAAAAAGAATTTAAACCTATGTCACCTATATTCATAGTTAGAGATGTTACAACTGAGTTATTCGCGTTGCGATTGACCTTTTAACCATCTAACACCCAAGCATTCCATGAAACGATGAGTCACTTAGAGTAAATACCACATTAGACTTGATCAATAAAATTCAGTCAGCACAAACACGGTATTGGTTATCATTCAAAGATCAACTAATGTACCCTTTAATTTGTTTACTCACAACACTATATTCAGTGTAACTAAGAAATTGATAGATAGTTAATTAGCTGTTTCTAACTTTTAATAATCAATCACTTTGAAGTTTGGTAATTACTGTAGTGATTAATTTTACTGATAATTCCAAGGAAATTCTAATACTCAATACGGATATTTAATTCACAAAATGAATTGTAATCAACCATTTCTTTCAAGTTCAAATAACTACAAAAGAAATTTTTAAAAATGTAAACATTTCAAATGTTTAATTAGTTTTAGGAGATTTATTTTAAATGTGATTTCTAGACAATTTGTTGCCTAGATCATATTTATTCGATGTTAACTTATGGGTAACTTATGTATCAATTGATGTAAGCATGTATGTGTATGTGCATTATTTATGTCTCAAAAAGTTCATTAGATATTAACTGGGCATCTGGTTTCAACCTTAACTATGGCATTAACCGATGGTAAGTGAATTAATAATAAATGTAAATCTTTGTAAAAGCTACACACCACAATGACTATGACCTATCTTATTCTTTTTGTTAACTTCCATAAATTATGCTTGCATGCATAACAGAGCAAAAAAAAGTTACTGAAAGATATTATGTTTGAAATGGAACAAGTTATAAATGATTCGCTATCTTTAACCGATGAATTGTTAGTTAATGTCTACTAGTTTGATTCCTAGTTATTTCTGTTTTTCATAACTGAAGATGAAGCATAGTAGTATACGGTTTACAAATTGAATATAATGGAGTTGAGATCAATAATTGCATTAAAAAACTCTGATTTTAGCTGATAAGTATGTTACAAGTCCTCAATTGTGCTTTGGTTTCATGTAAGGTGTTGATATAAATGGAATATTGCAATAGAAGGCTTTTGTTTGACACGCTAGGCCATGATGTCAGTTCATGAAATTATGCCTTTTTTTATATAATATTGAAAAAAAACTGTTTCTCTCGTTAATTCAACAGAATGGCCTTTTTTTTCGGTACTTAAATGACATAATTCGAAAGAACTCCGACTAAAATTAACGCATACACTTTATGCTATTCCCAGTACCGACCATTTGTTTTAGTGTCACGCATTCAAGACAATCTGTAAGAATCGTTAAGCATATATAATAATGGTTTTTTTATGGCTGAACAATCAGTTCAATGTCGAGGAAACTAGTGTTGTTTTCTCAATAAACTCCAACTCATGCTACTCGGTTTGTAGTCTGGTCCCCACTTTGCTCAGAGGTGAATATCCATAATTGGTCAGAAGATGTAAGTCATGAAAGTGTGGTTATACTTCATAACATTTGCTATTCTTAAGTGATTGATTAGCGTACGTCAAGATTTATTTGTCTTTGATTATCTATTTTGTAATCTTTTTTATTCTGTTTATATTATCGGAATCCTTTTGTTGATATATTAGTGTTGAGTATTTTTTTAAAACTTGGTAACAACCCGGTACACTATTTTAGTTTAATTATGCTAAAAGACCGGCTACGAGTAAAATTAACTTCATTGTTTTCTTCAGTATCCTCACAAAATGTTCATGGAAGTATTTAGTAAACCGGTGCATACACACACATGTTCACTAAAAATAGTAGTTCCCTGCTTTTTGGAACTTTAAAACAAAAAGAATATAGGGGAAATAAATAGGGCTAAACTAATTATTTAATGAACTACCCTTATTATAAATTTATAATTTGTCATATTTAGTAAAGCATTAAAATACGTAAATATAAATCTAACGACTATAATATGGGTAGGAAAAAACATAATGAAATAAGTAATTTATTCATTCTGCCACCCATATCCTTCAGTCTTGTGTGAATGTGTGTGCGTATATTTCTAGCAGTTCGTTTTCTTCTTAATCCAAGGTTTAAAAATATTCTACTCATTTATTTAAATAAACCGATCTCCTACTGTGTATGAAGTATGAACAAAGCGTATTAGAGCAGAAAATCGCTTTTAATAACTTCTTCATCAGGATCCATATTTATAAATCCTAAATTATCAGTGTCTATAAGATATGATTTTGTTGTTTGATCTACTTCGATGAGAAACAACTACAAAATCAATGATCTCATTCACGTATTATTATTATTGTCATCTTTATTGCTGTCCACGTATTTTGTAACCCTTTGCTAAAAATGAAAGTAATTTGTCCATCCTTCTACATTTTGTTGTCTCTTTCATCCCATTTCTAATCATACTGTTGCAGCTTTTGTTGTGTCACAGTGGATTTTTTCCCACAATTCTGATAATTATCATTGATCAACAGTGTTATGATTCGTTCAAAGGATGGGACATAAATATTCCTATCACTCTCATTATAACGTTTAATATTTGATATCATATATTTTAATTCCCTCTCTTCTCATTTTCTGAATTTCCTCAGTTTCTCCTCTGGAAATGGATGTAGAGAGATTTACACACACATACACACAGAGAGAAAGAGAACAGCAAATGTCTACTAGTACATAATGAAAACTTCTTTAATAACATAAAACTAGTGAGGATGATAATCAATTGAGAAATTAAAATTACTTAAGGCCATTAGAATTTTGTTCTTTTAAGAAAACACTGGATATTATTTTTTGTATATCTCAGGTTAACGAGGAAAAAGTGAGATGGAAAGAGCTCAAAGCTTATAAACACTACTATAAATACATACATATCATTACTATTTTTATTTGCAGTTTTATACAACAAACAAATGCCTTAGGCTGAATACAACATATAGGACTCTATTCTGCAGTGTATATTTATATATGATTGTGTTGATTAGTATCTTGTATGTACATAAGTGAGTGCATTGTAGTAAGCTTAAACACCTTTCATTGGACTAGTTCAAACACGTGCGTATGTGTGTTCCATAAATAATAATAAAATTCTTACTGTCATACACCCTCGCTCCCCCCTCCCAATTTTCACAATCACTCAATTGGATTTATAAATGAAAATATAAACAATACGACAAAAATAATGCGTGCACACATAGACAGTATAGAAAATTTGTAAAGAGTGTACCGTGTGAACAAAACCGTGGGAACTAAATGGTTTGGACAGCTGCTAAATAAACCTATAGTTTTTCTTGTTTTCGGTTAAAATTCTCACGCTCTTCCACAATGTCATCATGTCTTTCGTAGATGAGAGAGTGGATTTCTTTCTATCCATATATACTAAATACAATAAGAATAATAATTATTACACTACTATTATTAATAATAACATTAACCAACACGGGTTGTAGTTTGTTGTAGTAGTAGTAGTAATAGAGAAGCATGATTGTTAAAAATCATCCAATATAAATCTGCCTTTGAATAGTAGTCTTATCATTCACTCATGCATGTGTTAAGGTCATCAGTAAGAGTTGGCACATATACACTGATATAAATATTATGGATCCTTTTTTTAAATCTTTCTAACCAATTTATAATTAAAGATTGTACATATTTTGTTTTGCCCATGTACAACTTCTTCGATGTTAGTATTATCCCCGATGAATTCTCATCTTAATTTAAACACTGTTGTTACTGACGGCGTTAATAGCAGTCTTGATGAAGACAATGAAGACGAAGAGGCAGAGGAAGAAGTTAATAAATATCATTTTCGTAAACTTAATACTGACAATATAAACAATGATTATGTGTACAATATGAATTGTGAGCCTTCTGTTTCACATCATACTCGTCAGAGGCATCACCAAATGTTAACCAAACGACCAAGATTATCGACAATAACTTCTGAACACGAAAGTTTTCATAATCAAATAAACACTACAAATAATAATCATACAAATCAACATCACATGAATTGTTCTCAACTACATCAAAGGGATTTAATAATCACATCAACTAGTATGCCAGTTGGATATACCACCAATGCTGTTATTACTAATAGTAATGAAAATAATAATGGAGATAATCCTTATACAACATTTCGTTCAATGTTATTACAATCTGACTATAACACCAATGATAATAGTTCACCAGAGAAAGAAAATCGAACGTCAATTTTGACATTGAAAAGTAGATTGAATCATTATGTCAGTGATGATGATGACGATGTTGATGATGATGTTCCTGATAATGAACATGTTGAGAATATGTCTACATCTGAATCGAATTTGATTCTTCATGAGGCTCATAATATCGATCGTTTCCCATCATTATTAAAACATAATTCTCATGTAGATTATCATCAAGTTTTAAATGATGAAAGTGTTAGTAATAGAAATGATGAACTACATGAATATAAAGGTTAGTAGTAGTACAAAAAGTAGAGCATTTATTCAAAAGATATTTTTAAAAATCCGTTTAAGTATATGGTTGTTTATTTAACTAAGTAATGGTTATTGTCAGTGTATGTTAACATTTATCAGGAGTACTAAGTTATTTTTTTAATCGCGAATAATTAGAATTTAATGTACTTGTAAAGATTTAATTTAGTATCTATAAGAATTATGTCCAATCATTATAATTTCTGTACAGATTTATTTTAGAGTTCAAAATTGCTTATCTTGGTCACAGTTTTAATTACCCGTCTTTTATTTACACTTTTCTATCTGTAAAATAAAAAGGGGAATTCTGGATTTTAAAAAAGATAGTATCTGATATTTGTAATTATATACTATGAAGTGATTCATACTTAATACAAGGGTACCCATTCTAGATTTTTTAAAATTTACTGAAGTAACTTTCTCAGGGTTCAGGTTCCACCTATTTAAGCAGTGATCAAACCAAGACATGATATGAAGTCATTGATTGTTGAGTTGAGCCATGTTATTATGTGAAATCAACTAATTTGGGTCAATATAATAATCTTACACAGCGGTTAGAGACACTAAGAGACATGGCTCAGAACCGATACCATTAGTCCAGACGTATGAAGTCTTTATCTTTATTTAGATTCACAGTTCTTGTACTATCTCATTCACATCCTTTCTTTCTGAGTTTTTGAAACACATTCTTAATGCACAATCATTCGCATTATCATTTTTACTATAATTCTTTCGACTCCTTTACCGTTCATTTTGATAGTTTCATCTCATCATGCTAATACGATATGACAACTTGGTCCAGCGCATTTCTGTGTCAAGCTCTAAGTTGATTATAACCAATTAATTGAATGATTGACTTATTTAAGAATACACTAAAAAATGTGATGTGTTATGATTTTCTGATAAAAAAGGGAACTGACGTTGCTTTTTTTCCTTTCACTGTATACTATGCTTACTTTTGCACTGATTTCACAACTAATTGCTTTCTTTAGCATGTATTGAACAGGCATTTGGTAATTAAATTAAATTAACAATGAATCGTGACATGACTCAAAACTTGGTTTCCATAGTTCAAGTTTTTTTAATCTATTTGTTGAATTTTACTAGTATTATTAATACAAGGTTTATATGTTTGAACCGAAGTGAATCTGTGTTTGATTTCATATTTCTTATGATTGAGTAGTTAAATAATAATATATAACATTGTATAAGTCACATAGGTTTAGCACTGAGTAGACGTGTCGCTCACTTTCGTGGATTATTTGAAGTTAGACATTAATATCGTTGGATACTGGCTCAGAGGTCTAGAGGTTAAGCGTTCGCGCGCGATACTGATAGGTCCTGGGTCCAAACCTCGCGAAGGGTGGGGTCGTGGATACACACTGCTGAGGAGTCCTACAGTAGGACGAAACACCCATCCAGTGCTTCCAGGTTTTCCATGATGGTCTAGCTTCAATTGACTCATGATCTCAATCATTAAAATTACTATAATACCTACAAAAACCCCTTCTAATATTTAGATTTATTTCTTATTGCGATAGATTTATTTAGTCAACACATAGTGTAGGGGAGAGCTAATCAAAATCAAGAGCATAACATTTGGCTTCTTGTGCAAAAATTAAAAATTACATCTAGCAAGCAGTAAAAGTATTGTTCTGGCTCTCAGTATGTTTAAAATGATAATAAGAAATTATTTTTTGCATTATTAAGGACATGTGAAGGACAACTGGAGGGAGATATGCAAATGTTGTATTTAATGTATGGTTTTCATATTTTGTAAATCTAGTATTTGATTTTGCATGAGATAGCAAATTGGTTTCCTTTACTTGATTTATCGTTCATTGTAATACGTCGTGGTTTGTTCGCTTTAGAAGATTTCGATAGAATCGCTAATTATGTAGAACCTATTCACACTTTTGTAAGCACATTGTTTGCGTGTTCAGAAATTGTACATTTACAAAAATTATTTTCTCACTAGCCAAGAGCTGGCTAAACATTTATCAAAATTGTTATAAACCCATTCCTCTAACCGTTTATTTCTATTAACACTATCGACAATTAGAACAGATCAGCCTATTCTTTTCGTAAAATATGATTAACTTATCGAGTGTTATTTGCAAGTAAAGTCTCTGAAGTATTTACTAAAAGTATTTATCAATTTCAAATTCCATAACATATGTACAAAATAACTTTCCTTTATGACACTTGTGAAATAATTATACAGCCATTTTTATATTAGAATAAATAATTGTAATTTTGTTAAATACTTTCTCAAAACAAATGTAAAACTGAATGTAAGATAGAAACCTTAAGTGCAAGTCATTATATGTGAAAATTATATTTTAAATAATCTCGGCGGTTGAAATTTAAATAATTTTCACATATAATCACTTCTCTATACTCGGCGCTCAATTTCTGTCAAACTATTTGTTCTAATTTTTTTTGGTTGAGATCATGAATCAATTGATGTTAGACCACCGTTGGAAACCTGGAAGCACTGGACGGCTGTTTCGTCCTAGTATGGGACTCCTCAGCAGTGCGCATCCACGATCCCGCATCCCGCGAGATTCGAACCCAGGACCTACTGGCTTCGCGCCTGAGCACTTAACCATTAGACCACTGAGCCGGCATCCAATGGTGTTAGTGTCTAACATCAACCAATCCACGAAATTGTGCAACCAACTTCCATTGTACTGAGGTAGATACCTGTCTCTACCCGACACGGATTAGCTCCACTGGTCACGACTTCTCACTAGAACTCCGAGAATCCCCTCACGAAGCTAGTCACTAGTGAGCACATGTTAATTATCAGTAATTAATTAATTATCAGTTCTAGTGAGAAGTCGTGACCAGTGGAGCTAATCCGTGTCGGGTAGAGACAGGTATCTACCTCAGTACAATGGAAGTTGGTTGCACAATTTCGTGGATTGGTTGATGTTAGACACTAACACCATTGGATGCCGGCTCAGTGGTCTAATGGTTAAGTGCTCAGGCGCGAAGCCAGTAGGTCCTGGGTTCGAATCTCGCGGGATGCGGGATCGTGGATGCGCACTGCTGAGGAGTCCCATACTAGGACGAAACAGCCGTCCAGTGCTTCCAGGTTTCCAACGGTGGTCTAACATCAATTGATTCATGATCTCAACCAAAAACTTAACAATCTCCACAACCCCATACTGATATTTGTTCTAATCTTGACGAATATTCGTATAACTTAAGTGCAAGTATTCACGTATAATCCATTGAATCAGTGCGAAAGACCTCAAATGACTGATATGATTCATGTAGTTTTTACACGAAATCTTACCCCTAGTCAAATTAGGAAGTGGTAAGAATTACATTCAACTCTTGATCATCTTATGAGTTTTAGCCTGATGAACTCTGCGATAATTAACTGTAACTAAAGATGGAATAGTTTCATTCTAATTCATAATTGAAATTTTTAAAATATACATTGAGTATCTAATATGGTTTTTTATGTTATCCGCTTTAAGTTATCAGTGTTAAATGCAGTTTATAGCTAACGTTGATTCAACTATTATAATGACCATAGATCAAAATCGACTGACAGATTTCTTATCAGTACTGATAACTTACCATACTTTTTGGTTGACATTTAATCCCCTTAATTGAAGTGTCAAAATTTGATCGGTTCCTGGCACTATGTGACTTCTAATTACGGGTCACACAAGTGAAAGAGAAAGATACATTCGCAATATTGTTTACAATAACATTGAGTAAAAGGACAATTATAAATGAAATTATTTATAACGTATTTCGTTAATATTTTTTAGTATTCAGGACTTAATCAATGTAAAATTTTTAATTTATAACATGGATTAATTCAAGTTTTATATATTGTATAATTAATAGTAATTGTGATTTAATAACTGTAAAGCATTATGAAGAAGCTATCGAAAATTATTATTCTCCTTGATATTTATTGTTTCTGACTATTCTATGGGGATTTTAAAACTGTTAAAATGTAGTACGGTTTCAATTCCCCTGAAGCCATTCAATGACTGACTGGGGTATATTGCAAGACTCACCGTTATTTTTAACAGTATCTTTGAAAATGACTGTTGACTGATTTAAAATGCCTTTTTATTTTGCTTTTAAGTTCCACAAATCAAAATCGGTAAAGTTATTTGTAAAGTGTGAACTAATAAGATTAGAGAAACTGTTATTCATTTTACTTACTAAAGCGGGTTATCCCTTTTACAGCATAGTCTACACACCAGGGTTTCTGGTTAGCTCTTTTTTGGCAAGGTTTTTTTCTTTACCATCTAGAATTGATTACCCCACTTTCAACCATCCATTTTTAGCCTGCTTAGGATCTGCAGTAACCTTAGAGGGTCCCCAGGACGAGTTTTAGTCCTTATTAAATGCAGTGAAAATTTACTGGAGAATAATAGGGATTAAAACCAAGTTCGTTCATTAGTATGTATATATGTGGAGATATTATTATTATTATTAAACTTCCTTGTTTATCTGTTATTCCTTCTCATCTTTATCAAGTTAGTGTTTTTGTTTGGTACTTATTGTTCTTTTATTTTAAGCTTGTAAACCTGACATCTGGAAATATATTACTGAATATTATTCCAATAAATGACATTTTAATTAAGTAACGAAAATGAAATATTTATCAATTTTTAACATATTGTACACTTAATAACAAAGGTCATGATGATATTTTGTATATTTATATAACAAAACAAAACAATACTTTGAATAAGTCATTCACTACTATTCAATTATCAATAAATTTTAGTGCGTTAATAATAGAAAGTTCATTTATTGATTTTTTTTTGTTCAACATGTAATAAATTCTTAGTGATTAAAAAAAAACAGTTTTATTAAGTGAATTCTTCTTTGGTTTATTCAGTTATTACGCTCTGATTGAATTGAATTGAATTCAACATGGAATACATTTATTGTTTTCTAGGAATTAAAACTTCCAGTTTACAGTAAAGATACCGAAGCAACAATTGTTGATCAAAATTGGTTCTAATTTTCTTTTCATGCTAAAATTCAATTCAAAGAGAATATAGACTATTTATCTCAAAAGAAATAACTATTTAGAGAAGTTAAAAATAGGGAATTACCGTAAACACTTCTTGTGTCCATGTATAATCTCAAATGTGTAAGAGTATAAATTACATCAAGATTGAAAATACTCATTATGATGAATAATTTCTTAAAAATAATCTCCAAATATGAAATACTGAAATGAAAAATTATTAACATAAGATAGTAAATGATCAGGCCTTACTGAAAGAGGCTTATCATACATATTAGGCTGTAAAATAACCGTATATTATAAATTCAAGCTTTTTAGACTTAGAATAGAAATATCAATTAATATTCATTGATAGTTAGTTATAGGCGTTTAATGATTAATCATCACCTTTACAAAGTTGGAGAGTCTAAGTTTCATCATAATGAAGATTATTGGTTATATATCATGAAGTATTTGAACATGACCATAAAGATTGTTTCTTCTAACCTGTATCGTGTTTAATTAAAGTTACATTTCATAATCAAATTTTCTCCAATTTGTAAGTGACCATTCTGTTCCTCACCTAATATTGCACTGTCGATTAACTTACCTTGATCTAAGGGGAAAAGAAAAATCAGTATTTTAATATTAAACAACAAAATTGAATTATGTACAATGTACTATCAACAGTTTACCAATGTTATAAAAATTTGTAAAATATAATGTTGGTGACAAAACATATACAAAGCAAGTATAGATGATTTTTCAAAAATAAAACTCATTTAATACTGTAAATTCAATAGTATTTGAGACTATTGTACAGGCTCTGTAAATAAATATTTGTACCATATGTTTGTATTACTACCATTACTTAAGGTTCCCAAACATAAATCACTAAATTCCTCTTATTCCTATATATATATATATATATATATATATATATATATATATATATATGACAGACTGAATCGCCATTCTGTATTACACATAAGTAAACCTCAGCCTATTAGTTCCCACGTTTTGTGTGAAAGTATATATTTCAGTCCGACATGATGTTTTTTTTTCGACTAAAGGTGTATTTATGCACATACATGATTATAACTGGCATGTACATCAATAATGTGCTTGAATAACAGAGATACACCTTTTATACCATTCACATATATCCATATGTATATGTGTACGCGAACATGAATAGATACAATTAAAATTAATGAACATGAATGTAGAAAGAATGTAGTTGTGATACAAATAGTGCTGTAAAATTAGTAGACAACAGAAAGATATTTTAGTGAAAGTACTAAGATATCGTTATAGTAGGATTATATTTCTTTAAGATTCATTCATGATAACAAGTACACTAACGATTAGTACAATTATATCATTGAATTGGTGATTAACTATAAAAGATATCTGGTCTAATATGATGGATAACACTATGTAAACATTAACTATCCATGAATTTCACTGTGTATTCGAACGAATGGTAAAACATATCGATTTATTTCAAACATATTAATCTATATTCTGCAGTAAGTGATTATCCACTATATGGCTGGTGGTCTTAAAGAGTGCACCTTGTGGAAATTTTCATTTGTAATGTGATCAAATTCAAGTAAGTAATAATTCATAAACTTTATGGCTTCTTTAAAGACTATTCTATGATACCTTCACAAGAGTAACCAATTTATGTTTTGCTTTTTGTAAAATTTTAAAACTTAGTTATGAATCTAAGTAGATTAGACTAGTTCGTACTTTAGATTATTTGGCTACTCTCTGTTGGAAGTGAACATTATAAATTGTAGATCGAACTATGTTATTAAGTGGGTTAACCTACACATTCTATCAATTCCCGATACGCATACCGTATCCAACATTTCCGGACATTTTTCCTATTATTTAGTAGATGTGTGCTGAATATGAATGCAAATGAATGGAAAAATACCTGAAAATGCTGCATACAGCAAACTTGTTGAAGAACGAAAGACGGATAGAAAAATTTACTTTGTTATTAATCAATGACAGCTTCAATCTAACTTCCTTTAGTGTTTAAAATCCAAAATACACCATAAAAATAATTTATACTGATAAAAATTTCTCGATTGCATCACATAAGCATACTAAGTAGTTTACATTTGTCGCAGTTTATGGTGCTTCATTAAATGGATGTGATCATATTTATCTCTACTTTTCTTGTTAATTTGAAGTACTATTTATTTTTCTAAATGACAACTACATGACTAAATATCATTTCATTATAGTAAACATTTCTTTCTATAATTAGACAGGAGAATCACCTATTTTAGGTGAGTGCTTTGTGGTTAAAAGGAAGAAGAAAAAAGAGTTCCACATCACAGACAGGCATCAGCTGACGAACTGGGAAATCGCTGGATATCTTTGATATTTCCTTATATAATCTTAATTACGTCAGGGCTTACCCATTATTCAACTTACCAACGTTCGTTTCATAGGATTCGTTTGGAGGCTGATTAAAAACTATATACTTGACAATGTCTTGGATTTAGCAGTAGTTATGAATTTAAATTTAGGAAAGAGAGGGACCAAGTAAAACCCACTTATGCTGGAAAATATGTAGAATAATAATTTTAATTCAATTGAGAAGCATTTAATTGGTTTGAAATAATCTTGACTAATAAGCAAAACTCATAGACTATTTCAACTGAGTTTATTATAAAAAAGATTGCAGATACATTCTAGGATAATCTACAATGTATTGGTGGCTTGTAAAAATTTGATGATGATCGAAAAATAACTTGCTGGTAAGACACTTAAGTATATTTGAGTAAACCAAAATCTGGATACAATTGTCCTAATGCCATTTGGTCTCTAGGTCAAAATTAAAAATGCTAAAATGACGCATCCGTTATCGCTGGGTAAAATTACTTTAACAAAGTCTCAGCTGTGGTTGGCTATACCATTGACCTTGTAATTAAGAGTCACATCTTATTGATTAATGCGTTGGTGGAGGCTTATGCCTAATATTTGATACAAAATACACAACCATTGAGTGTGCGAATCAAATTTTGCCTAGAAAATTATTCTGCTATTGAAACTATATATTAACTTGGACTGTCATCTATGTGAATGGCTTCTAAAAATGAAGTACATTAAAGGCACACCAGTTCATACCGAGGTGTGGTATTACTTACTTTCCACAGGTGAGTTTACACTATAATGTGATTAGAATACTCTATTGGTAGACCTGAATTTGTAATGGTACCTCAGATTGTGACTGATAAATTTGTTATTTCAATCCATGATTAGAAAGAGTAAGTACTCTCAAATCATCATTAAGGAACAAGTTGACTGTTGCTTAAGTTTTGTCTCAACGGATTGTCATAGCTTTCTCAAACATATCTTTATTTCCATAAAGAAAGTTATGGACTGCATATTAATTTCGAGTTTATCTTCGCTATCAATGATTGATACAGTCAGTTTTAGTCTCCTTTAGTCAGACTAAGCAACCGTTCCTTCTGTCACCTAAAAACTTACAAATGAGGACCTTTTCATAGATTTAAAAGTTTTGGTGGTGTCAACGAGCATCATGTACATATTAGAAATAAGTTTACCCCTCAGATTATCAGTACATGGAACGGAGGAAGGTGAATTCACTGTCCCGGCAACATTGCGTATTATTCATAACATCCATAAACCCTGCATTTATTTAGATCTATAGAATGAACTAAAAAATATCAGGTTAGACAACGTTTTGCTAATCAATTCAACTGTTTTAGAACGAGAATGTTTTAATTCAAGTCCGCGTGGATTTTGATTACGATCAAATATTTTGGTAATAAATAGGATATCTGAGGTCGACTAAAAGCAATGTTATGACAAGGCAATAGTACTACAGATAATTATATGCTTATATGAGAAAGATGATCAAGTTCTAAATAAGTTAGGTTTGTTAAAATGTAAAATATCCAACTTCATAAGTTAAGATCAAGATTGATTATATGTTATGTAGAAGTAATACCGTTATCCAAGAAAACTTGTGTTCTAACAATTGTTACTTTCACTTAGTTTACATTGATTTTTATTAATTTTGATGTTTAAAGTAAATAATCATTTGGAAAAATATCGTTGACAAGAAAGTCAATATTATTATGACTGCATCAAAGTTGTAGGATAACAAAGACATACAGAAAGAACACTTCTGTTTAGTGACTGGATACCTTTCAGAAATTGAGTATGGATAACTAACCTCATAGTTTCGGATGTCCAACTTATGTGAGCTATCACACATACACAATACAACTCCCTTTGACTTCTTGATTAAATAGATATTCAATATTAAAATTTTTTAGATTTGATTTTAAGCTATCTTGCAGTAGAGAAGCTTGCCTTCATCTGAATTAGTGAATTCTTTTTTTACTGTATTTATATATGGTTGCTCATGTATCATTTATTCATGCTTCATTTTCTTACATCAATGGATTCATTCGTTGGTAAAAAATTACACGAGAATTTAAATAAGCAAACGGAAATCATCTAAGGAAAAATTTTCAGAGCTAATATCAATGAGATCGAAATTGTAGTATTGAGAACTTGACAACATTTTACATAAGGAAGATAAAAATTAACTAAATGTTACTTTCTCTGAAATTGTTCATTGTGATTATAAACCAGTAAAAACGTTTGTGAAATAACTAGGAAAACATACTCTTATGACATAAAATTGTGCAGTGATATATGAAGTTTACTCTATATTTAACTATTTTTTTCCAATATTTCACGTATCTTTGATTTAGCTTAAATTTATTGTAATGTACGAATATGACACCGCTATAAGGTTTAATAGGAGTTCCTCAGTTTAATTTTTTAATCTTTCACTTCTAACTATTTATCACAGTGTATAACTTCAAGTTTCCAAGCCCTTATTTAATGATAAGATTATTTATCAACAAGATTAACTTAATTTTCTTAGACTGTAAGCAGTTATTGGTATCGATTGTCTTGCAGTGACGTAAGATTAAATAGACCTGAGTAGTTATCGTGTCAGTGCCAATAAATGTAAATCATATACTAAGAAATTCTGATCTTGTTGCCATACCGGGTGCACAAATGAAATTCGAAAATCTAATAATATTCAATTTGTTTCCAGTCCATCCAATTCTGTTAATGATTTGCACAATATTAGATTTATGAAATCTGTTTGTTATGTAAAAATGGATCATTGATTTACGAACAATCATTATATATTCCGACTATATTATTCTTAATTAAAAGTTTGTTGATAAGTGAATTCGAGATTTACGCAAATAAGAACCAATATCAATCTAGTTTCAACCTTTAAAGAAAACTAGTTAGCATATCAATCATGTGTATTCATCGGAATATTTTCTATCTGAATCAATAAGGTTATGTCGTTGGCCTGTGTTTTTCTAACTGGTCAACTGATGGATGTCTGGTTTGTTTGGTTTTTAATCACTTTATTTGCTAGGAATCACTTCTTTACGATTACACCATTAAAATTACTTACTTAATTTACTTTACTCATGCCTGTTACTCCTAATGGACCATAGGCCGCCGACCAGCATTCTCCAATCCACTCTGTCCTGGGCCTTCTTTTCTAGTTCCATCCAATTATTGTTTATTTTTCTCATGTCTATCTCCATTTCCCGGCGTAATGTGTTCTTTGGTCTTCCTCTTCTCCTTTGGAGTTGGGGATTCCATGTGAGGGCTTGCCTTGTGAAACAGTCGGGTGCTTTCCTCTATGTGTGTCCTATTCACTTCCAGTGCTTATTCCTGATTACTTTCTTCGCTGGGATCTGGTTTGTTCTCTCCCATAGTACGTTGTTGCTGATAGTGTCTGATCAAGGGATCCGAAGTATTTTGCATAGACAACTCTTAATAAACATCTATATCTTCTGGATGATGGCTTTCGTAGTTTTACAGGTTTCCACCCCATACAGTATAACTGTCTTGACATTTGTATTGAAAATCCTGACCTTGGTGTTGGTTGACAGTTGTTTTGAGTTCCAGATGTTCTTCAGTTGTAAATATGCTGCTCTTGCTTTCCGATCCGCGCTTTAACATCTGCATCAGATCCACCTGTTCATCAATGATGCTGCCCAAATATGTAAAGGTTTTTACATCTTCCGAATCTTCTCCTTCAATTGTGATTGGATTGGTGAATGCTGTGTTGTATCGGAGAATCCTGCTTTTCCCTTTGTGTATATTGAGACCTACTGGTGCTGAGGCTGCTGCTACACTGGTCGTCTTCTCCTGCAGTTGTTGTTACGTGTGCGATAGAAGAGCCAGATCATCTACAAAATCTAGATCGTCCAACTGCATCCTAGATGTCCACTGTATCCCGTGCTTCCCTTAGGATGTTGACGTCTTCATGATCCAGTCGATCACGAGGAGAAAGAGAAAGGGTGAGAGTAAGCAACCTTGTCTGACACCAGTCTTTACTTCGAACGGGTCTGTAACCTGTCCTCCATGCACGATTTTGCAGTTTAGTTCATCATAAGAATTCCGTATGGTATTGACTATCTTCTCAGGTACGCCGTAGTGTCAAAGATGCTTCCATAGTGTTGTCCTGTCCACACTGTCAAGTGCTTTCTCGTAGTCAATGAAGTTGACGTAGAG